ACCCATTCTGCCAGTCTACTTCTTTTGATTGGGGAATTGAGACCGTTAACATTGATGGTTATAATTGATATGTATTGACTTATCCTTGTCATGATTTTTTCTTTTTGTTGGATTCTCCCCCTTTGCATTTAATTTCTTGTTGTGCCTGATAGATTCATTCTGCTGGGCTTCCTGGGGTTGTGATCCTTGTTGTCTTTTCCTAGGATATTGTCTAAAATTTTTTGGAGCACTGGTTTGGTATTCATGAAGTTCCTAAGGTGCTCTTTGTCATGAAAATATCATTTCTCCATTAATTTTGAAAGATACTTCTTGCCGGGTATATCAATCTGAGTTGGAGGCTGTTTTGCTTTAGGGCTTGAAATATGTCACTTTAAGCTCTTCTTGCCTTGAGGGTTTGCATTGAGAAGTCTGCTGTGATTCTGTTGGGCTTTCCTTTGTATGTGATTTATTTCTTTTCTCTAAGTGCTTGTAGAATTTTGTTCTTCTGTTGGCTTTCTGGAATCTTGCCTATTATATGCCTACGTGTAGATTTTTTTTTATCAAGGCTAGTTGGAGTCCTATATGCCTCACTGATCTTTATGTCAAATTCTTTTCCCCTGCTTGGGAAGTTTTCTGCCATCCCTTCTGTGAACAGTTTTTTTATGTCATCTGCACTCTCTCCTGTTTCTTCATTGACTCTGATCAGTCTTATGTCATTCTTCTTTGCATCGTGTAGAAGCTGCTGAATTGATTTCTTGTGGTCCCTTACTATTTTAAAGAAATTTTTCTTTTTCTGGTCACTAATTGCTATTTTCTCTTCTGTATCTGAAATTCTGTCCTCGCATTTGGCTCATTCTGCTGTGTAAACTTTCATTGGAGTTTTTAATGTCCTGGAAATCTGTTTGCATCTGTCTTATGGACTCCATTTATTTCCTATGTTGGGATTCCATCATGTTTCTCAGCTCCTCTGTTTTTTTTATCTGTGTCCTCTGTAGATTTATTAATCATATCTTGCACTATGGGTAAAATCTCTGCTGATATCTGAGAAATTATTTCTGATTTCATGTTTTCCAGATCCTCTTTTTTTGCCAGTTCAGGGAGTCCAGGTGGTTGAGTATCAGATTGTTCCATTTTGTTTGCCTTTGGGGTTGCTTTAGGTGATCTGGAAGTCTTGTTTTGAGACTTGTTTGCATGTCTTCTCATTTCAGTGAGGGGGGCAGGATGTCTGCTGCTGGCATCCCTCCTAGGTGCTGGGGGTGGTGGTACAGAGGGCCAGAAAGTTCACCTCCTCTGCACTGAGAACAGCTCTGCTCCTCGGCATTGCTTAAGAGTATAAGCAACTTATCCTTTGCAACAGGAGAGAAGGTCACATTACAGGGTACAGTCAGTGGGTAGATTTGCTTCTTTTTTTCTCGAAGAAAAAAGAAACCAGTTTGCTATGAATGTGAAGGAATGAGGGGAACTGGAAGATTAAGTTTGAGGGTGATAGTGGAGTGATACATGGTGAAAATATAGTGTCACGAGCTGATGTCTTCCCCCTGCCTTCATACCCTGCAGTGCCTACAAAGGGCTCATAAAATCACCAGAACAACAATCAAAGTCTTGCCAGTAGCCTGTGAATAATACCTTCAGTCCAGGTATGTTCCTGTCCTTTTTTCTCTTTAGGCCATCACTTGGGCACCTGCAAATTCCTGCCCTTCCCCATCCCATTTACCTTCCATTTATTCCAGGACCCAAGAGGGCCTAAGATTCATTCTACTTGAGATAGTTTTGCCTCATACATCTGTGTTGCTGAGGCCCATTTCACTCTGGATCTTCCTATTTTAAGAGTGGAGCACTAACAATATTAAGTGGAATGCTTCTCGTAGCAAGGCTTCTCTTTGTGATAGAAAACTCCTTTCTCACCAGGAATGAAGATGGGTTTGGATGAGGATTGTGAAAATAACTCACGTCCTCTTCTCCTTGCACTTGCTCAATGCAGAAGTCATTTTCTGAATATTACACATATTCTATGAACTTTGACTTGCTCTCATTCTGACCCAGGTGTGTCCAAGTTTGGCAAGCAACTTCATTCATGTAGGCTGTGTTTTTTCTGGTCTTTAACTTTTCAGGTAGGGAGGTCCATTCTTTTGGTTGATCCTTCCATTAGTTCCTGCAGCCTTATCCAGATTTTTAATCCCTCTACCCTCCTCTGGGAACTAGATTGAGACCCTTTTGATCTCAGAATTCTGGAATTTTGTGCCAGGGCAGGATAAAATTTCCTGTTTTCTGATCCTATACTCAATTCTGGGGATGCCCAGCAATTTGTTGGCATTTTGATTGACCATAAATTGCTTTAAACTATGTCTGTAGAGTTGGCCCACAGTGATATCCATATCTCCTTATCATTTATGACTCAGCCCTGTAGAGATCTTTTATAAAATGCTTTCAGATATTTTGTTTTTATCTCTGAATATATTACCTGGCTCTCATCCAGGTAAAAAATCATCTGCCATTCTGTGCCCACTCATAGAATCATTAGTACTTCCTGAAGCCTAGCCCCATTGATTTGATTCTTCACATCCAGGAAGAAGTAACTACTATTTCCAAACAGTATGGTTAAGAAAAATGACATCCGTTAGAAACAGGGAAATATAGCTCAAGCTTAGTCTTCCTGTTGCTTCAATATTAAAAAATTAAAATTTGAGCTAAACTGATGACTCGGACATAGAGATTTCAGTTTTTATTTACATGGGAATCATTGCAAGTGTATGGTTGTCATAGTCTTCCTAGGCCTTTCACACTGTTGTCCTACTCTATAGTGACCTTCAACCTTAGACATTTTCCAGGGTGGAGCCTGGCAGGGATTGTAGAGAAACAAGGACCACCTTGCACTAGTTTGTAGAGCCCCATGTTGGGTGGTGGAAGGAGCATGGGCTTTTCTATCAGTGGGCCTGCTCTGTTGATTCTCTCTTTGATATCCTGCTTACTCCTGGCTGTGTGGTCTCAGTCAAGGTATCTCACCTCATTAAGCCCCAGTTTCCTCAGTTCCAAAATGAGGACAATAATAGTATTTATTATGAATAAATGAAATCATACATTTGAAGTACTTAGCCGAGTGCCTGTTCCATATATGCATAACACATACTAATCAGTTTTTAAAGTCTAGTGCACTTAGCCCTCCCCAAGAAAACTTACACAGTATTGAGTTCACTTCTTTGAGCCCCATTGTCCACCTATAAAGAGAGTTGATGTGAGGATGAAATGAGATGGCTCCTCTCTGCAGATCCCTAGCATAACTCCTGAGCCCTTTCAGTGCATTTCCTCTGAGCCATTTTGTAAAAGTGCTGCAGGAAGGTGTGTCTGGCTTTGACTAATTCAGTTTTGATCTCTGTAAGGTCAGATGTCAAAAACTCTTTTACAGGTACCCAGGAGCCAGCATTTCCAATTCAGATCAGTGGAAGGCAGAGATTCTTCCTTTTTAAGAATGCCCATGCTGTTCTAATTTCAGGGGCACATGGTCCTGTGGGCAGCTTTACCCAAAGGCGGCACTTATACAAACAGTGGAGTGCTCTGGAAAGGAAAGGCTGCCATGGACACCCAGGTTGAGATTTTCCTAATGTGCATGAGGTGGAGTTGATGTTAAAAAGAAGCTGGACCCTGCATTGCTGAGAATAGGACCCTGCATTGCTGGTACTATAGGGGATGCAGAGGAAACTGGAGGCCATATAGCCTGAGGAAATGCTTCTGCTACTCTCGCTGCTTTTTCTTCTTTATCTTCTTCCTTTTCTTCATAAAATAACTCTTAAGTGGCTACTGCTGGAGTGACAAATAAGCCTTCCTATAGTAGAATGTAGCCTTTTGATAGTAGGCAGTCCTGGGCTGAGTTTGGATTCTATCACTGACCTTGTGCGTTTCAGCTGTTGCCGTGGAGATGACAGTTCCTATCTTAGAGAATCACTATGAGTAAAGAGCCCAGGATGTTACCTGCCCTATGGAAGGTGCAGAAGAAACTCCAGTTCCCTTCCTTCTCTCCTCCCCTCACTCAGTTTTGCTACACCTGCTAAACAGAACTCATTCTCAAGTCTTTCCTTCTTTAGCAGAAAAAAGTTTTGCCTCCCACAAAATATTAGCACACAGTGATTAAGTTGGGGATTTTCTTGAAACACTGTACAAGAGCACAGCACGTAGCATGTACTCATTTGATTTGTAGATACAGTATAATGACTTTTCACCATATGAAAGTCCTCTGGGGTAATGTAAAAGACAGGAATAACACTGCTTAGTTCTTTTTTTTAGCCTTTCTTTCCGTTATGCAAATCAGAAACATTAATCCTTTGTGACTCCCTGCCCTCTTGGATATGGGAAAACCCATCACCTACCTTCTTTCTCATTGAAAATAACATAATTGTCAAGCACTCATTCCTTTTTTTTGAGACAGGGTCTCACTTTGTAGTTCAGACTGGCCCTGAACTCATTATGTAGCTCAGGCTGGCCTCAAACTTGCAGCAATCCTCCTGCCTCTGCCTCCAGTGTGCTGGGATTACAGGTGTGAGCCACCACACCCGGCTCAAGTACTCATAACTTCTGAGTACAATTTCAACCCTCTCTTTGATAAGGCAATAACCCAAGCAAATAATATTAGATGAAGTTACAAGCTGCAGTATAAAGTAGAGATGGAGGTGAGATGAATTGAAGTTCTCTATAAAGTTGCACAAAATCTTACAGGCTATTAGACTTTGGATAGAGCTATTAAACCAACCCATTAAATTGCTTGGCTTCCAGTTCATCTTCTAGACTTCCTTGGCATAGCCTTCAACACAATATTAGACTTCTTAGATCTCGCTGCTCTTGGTAGTAAACGTACATCATAGTCTTGAGGTCAACTCAGTCTATTAGTGTCTCAGTCCTTTTTCCTCATCTTTCCAGTGAATGGCATGAAAGCCCTTTAAGACCTATTTTTATGAGTGATACTGAGTTACAGCTATAAGACCTATGCTAAGCACATGGATCATTATTCTCTCTTTCTCTTTCATGTCCAGGTCATAGCACCTTGGAGTCACCAACAAACATGCCTTCTTCTCCTGATTATTTTTTGTGGAATCTGACCTGGATAATGAAAGACTCCTTCCCTTTCCTGTCTCATCGCAGCCGATATGGTAAGTATATTTTTGGTAGTTATTTGTGATGCACCATCACTAGCTCATAATTAAGCAAGATAGGAGCTTTGGTTGGTGACTAATGGCTCTACAGGGATCTTTTATCCCCCTATATGAAAAGAAATCTTTCTGTGTCTTCTGTTTCCTAAAGGCACCCAATGCTACCAGACCATTCCAGCTGCGTTGTATATAATAAAGGAAGCCAAAAGGGTCCCCCTCACTGAAAAGGGGCCCTTCAATTTGACTTTAATTGGTCAGCGGGCGTCCCCTCTCTCCAGCTTTTTATAAGCTCTTGGTCTCCACGATGGACTGTAAGAAGGTGGGGTCGGGAGCTGGCAGGACTCTGTCCCATATATTTGGATAACCTGTTGTACTTGGCCCAGATTAATGAGATATTGTAAGAGTCTGGTGGTCTCTGGGTCTACCGTAATATCAGAGGATAGAAATGGCCTCCCATATAACATCTCAAATGGGTGCTCGCTTTGGCAGCACATATATTAACATCTCAAATGGGCTCAAACTTGACCCCATTTGGGGCATGTTATGAACCCTTATGAGTGCTATTGGCAGCAACTGGAGCCAGGATTCAGATGTCTCTTGGCAAAGCTTTGCCAGAGTTTGCTTTAGGGTCTAGTTGGCTCTCTCTACCTTTCCAGAAGATTGAAGCTTCCAGATAGAATGGAGGTGATACTTTATTCCTAAAGCCTTTGCCTCTCCCTGAGTTATTTGAGAGGTAAAAGTAGGTCCATTGTCTCTCTGGAGACACTGGGGTCATCCAAATCTGGGAATGCTTTCCTTAAGAAGCACCTTGACAACCTCAGTAGCCTTTTCTGAATGAGTAGGAAAGGCTTCACTCCAGCTGTAAAGGTGTCAGTCAGGACCAACATCTGTTTAAATCCTCCACGTGGTGGTATATGGGTGAAATCTAATTGCTGGTCCTCCCCAAAGTGTGTCCCTCTCCTCTGCACAGGTTCTGAAAAAGGAGGTGGTTTGGGTTTGCCCAGGTTATTATAGGCACAGAATAGGCAAGCTTTGTAGACCTGTCACGGGGTTGCCGCTAGTCCTAGGGCTGCGAGTGACTGTTTCCAGTGGAACATCTCTTCCCATATGGAAAGAATCATGAAATGTTTTTATAGCCTTCCATTGTATCCCTTGAGGAAGGATTAGTTTGTTTTCTGAATACCACCAGAGTCCCTTTTTAAATCCCCCTTGTCCCGAGGCCCATTTATCTTCCTGGGGAATATAGACTGGTGTTAATGTTTCCTCAGGAACTGAGAATAAGGCTGGAGTCTAAGGGGGCTATAGGGCTACCCTTTCTGATTTTCTGTCAGCCTTTTGATTTCCCAAGATGACTTCAGACATGTCTCTTTGGTGCCCTTTACAGTACATGACTGCAACCTGCTTGGGAGGGTGGACCGCCTCTATGAGTTGTAGAATTTCCTGCTTTTGCTTTATGGATGATTGACAAAGCTACTGCCATCAGGGAACCACACCTCCTCAGGGTTTTGCAGGGCTAGGTCACTGATGTCCTGCCTTCTTGCATAGTCTAGGAGATCAGTTGTTCACAAGAATGGTTAACTTTTGGGCCTGTAGGCATCAAAGAAGCAGAGTTAATAGTAGTACAGGGGTTTTTTTAGTAACCTCAAGGGTGTCCAACTGCATGGCTTGATACTCAGTGATCCATTCCCCTGTTAACCACAAGTAACCTTTTGTCTCCAGAATAGCTCTGACCTGATGGGGAGTCAGGACTTCTAGTCTCTGTCATAAAGTTAACTTTGCAGCTTCTTCTGTTAGTACAGCTGCAAAGACTCTCTGATTAGGGGTTCCTTTGGCCCCAACTATGGGCATAAGTCCACAGGAGGGTTTTTTAGAGAACTAAGTCAAAACACAGTGAAGTAATTGAATTGACTCACCCATGATGTCTAAGATTATACAGGGCTCCTTGGAGGAAATGGTGATGTCTGTGGACAGGGGCGCTGCAGGTTCCTCTGGGCCTTGTCAGAGCAGAAAATGAGCGGTCTGCCTGGCCTAGCCCCTCTCTGGGAGTGGGGACAATCCATAAGTCAGGCATATTAGCTGCCTTACATACAGAGCAGGGTCCAGACAGATGCTTGGTGTAATCTCATATCCAGTGTCCAATCCTCTTGCACTTGAAACAGGAACTTTTTTCCAGGTTGTCCTTGGGTTTTTCCTTAGACATCCTAGATGGGTTTAAAGCATCACCAATTGCAACAGCCATAATCCTAGCCTTTCTCTTTTGTCCTTCCTCTGGAGCCTGATTGCTGAACACAGAAAAGCCCATGTCCAGAAATTAGGCCATAGGTGTCTGTGGCCTCATCTGAAGTTTTTGTAGCTTGCACTGAGCATCTGGGGCTAATTGATAGATGAAATGATGTCCTTCTGGTGCTTCTCCTTCCCTGTAGTAGTATATTTATGAAAAACTACACACATCCCTTTATCTCTATGGTAAGAGCAGCTAGCACATCAGGCATCATTCTTAGTCCCCCACTAGTATTACAGTCCCAGTTTGGTTCTCTTGAAGGGGAAATAACCTTTTCAAGGTGGTTTCTTTCCCTTTTTAAGGAACATTTTTTCATTAGCATAGTTCCTAGCCTGTTGTACGTCTATAACTGAAAAGGGGGCCTGATTTATTGGCCTGGGGACCATGAGGAGGAGCTGGAAGAGACCTCCCAGTATCATCAAACAGATCAGAGAGATCCACATTCCCAAGAGAAAAATGAGGGCTCCAGGACAGACCCTTCCTCTTAGCTTCTGATCCTTTCCTATGACAGAATCACAAAAGCCTGTACATGAGAGATTTCATTCTGCCTTGTATGATTTAAGCAGAAATGCTGTAACTAGAGAGTGGCCTCATAAAGTACTATCCCATACCCATCCCTTGCCACCTCCGGTTTGTACTGAACCCAAAGCATATCGCCATAGTAGATAAGTCGTTTCTGTTTTGCATTGTCAGGATCAAACCTTTTCCACTCATCAAGAATATGGCCTAGTGGTGAAGTCAGGGAAATCCTCATGGTGGTGAGGTCCAAGAGGTTTCCCATTGGCTTGGCGTGGGGCCTGTAGAGAGAAGGAGACAACTAGGTCTTGACTCCTTAATGTGGCATCCCATGAAGAGAGAGGAGACCCATGGGTTCCACATAGCATCCTTTGTGAGACCCTAACACAGACTAGACAGACGTCTCTCTCTAAACCTTAAGAGTGATGCCAGCATCTTTGACAGAGGCTCAGAAGAAAGCTTCCTGGGGGACTTTTGTCTCCATATTGGACCCATAAGGCATTTGTTGGCTTTACTTAGTTCTTTAACTTCCATGAAGTAAGGGCAGAACTTCCCCAAGCAAAGTTTTTTTAGCCACTTGGGCCTCTTGATGGCTTAGCTTGTATGTTGAGTCCCTTGATGGCTCTACCTGTATCCTGAGCCCCTTGGTGGCTGAGCTGGCATTTTAAGTCCTTTGATGACTCTACTTAACCTGAATGGAACCAAAGAGAAAATTGTCTCTTGCATTTATCCCAATAGTAAAAAGGCTAAGAGCAGGGATGGTTCTGCTTTCATATACTCACAGTAGCTTTAATTAAATTTTAAACACTGTTTGTTCTGCTCAGGTCATCAGGCAAACGTTCTAAATTACCTACACTTAAACAAGGAAGTCAAACCAGGAAGCTATAGCCCCAGGTGGGATTTAAAACAAGGAGGAAGCCAGTTAGTTAAAGCTGGTTTGAACGGGCCCTCCTGGCCTATGCCCAACCCAGCAAAAGCCTCAGGCATTTCCTTTTCAAATGGACAAATTTTTCTTCCCAGCACAGGGAAGAGCCATTGTATTGGTTACAATAATGAAAAAAAAGAAAGAGATTCCTCCCTCTTGTTCCCCAAAATCAGAGGCTTAGCTCAGAAGACCAGTTAGAAAAAAATGAAAAAGATGCAGTTAATATAAGCCAATGTCTAGCTGCAGAAGTCCGTGCAGGCTCTAAGCCTATTTATTGGTGCCACCCACACCCTGGGTGGGGCACCCTTAGTCCTAGCATCACACCAAACAAAAACTGAGAGGAAAAAAAAAAGTGGAAAAACATTTGTTGTGGCCTGAACAAAAACAAGATCCATCTCATTCCCCTCCCCCATTCCCTACAGTCAGCAAAGCAGCAAACAGTTCTCTGTACAACAGAAGAGTCCCCTGAATTCCTGGCCTAGGGGAGAGTGAGGGAGCAGAGAAAAGAAAAGCCTTAAGCCTTTCAGACGTTTCAGAGGAAAAAACAAAAAACAAAACACATGCCCATTGAGGCCTTACCTGCTCTCCTCCTGGCTGGCTCACCAAGTAATGTTAACAGGTAGTCTCTTTCTACAAGTGGCTCACCAAATAAATGGTACTGGGTTTTGTGGTGCTCACGTCTCCTTCCTGAGTTGGATTCTAGGTTCTTCTCATCTCAAACAAAGAATTGAATGGAATGGGCTAAAAGGGGTGACAAAATTTATTTGAAAGAGTATAAGTGAAGAGTGAGGGAGAAACTGACTCTGCAAAGCGAGCTTGGGCCATAAGAAGAAAAGCATGATAAAAGTACACAATGGAGAACATAGGGTGGGCTATTGTAAGGAAAGCCACAATAGCAAGCTCTTCTTGGCATTTGTGTCCCTTTATGCCATTCACATTAGGAGGGAACCTGCAAGAACTTCCACATCCAGGTCTCGAGAAGCAGTGTTGGGATCCCAAACCTCAGGCTGATGGCAGGTCTAGGCCATCCTATTGAAAACCTGCTTGAGGGAATGGGGAAAAAATAAGAACCAAGATACATCATGTACAGGTACAAGCACCCAATGATAAATGTAAACATATTGTATACCTGATATGTACCAGTAAAAAATTTAAGCAAACAAAAAAAGAAAACCTGCTTGAGTTCTCGGGGAAAAGTCCACATGCAGGACTTTGGGAACTATTCTGCATATGTGTAGTGGGAGCTTGTAATTAACAGGTCATACCTACTTTCCCAGC